AAAAAAAAAAAAAAAAAAAAAATCAGACTAGTACCTTGAATCTTTTGGAGGAAACCTATTAGGTTTAGTCCAATAAATAGGATATTTAGGATATTAGGATAGTCCAATAAATTTACCACATTCTTTATGTTACTCATATTGTACTCCCTGTGAATTGTACACCAAGAAAGCCAAGCTTTACATTATAACAATGACTTTCATCTTCTACTTCTAACACCAAAAGTTGGCTAGTTCGTTTTTATTTTTTTACCTCTACAGATCCATGTTCTTCAGTAGCAAAGGGTAAAAGACTTTCATAGAGTTTCGTGAATGCAGCCAATCCAGTCTCTATGATCTCTGCTTCTATGCTGGGATCCAAAGGCTCAGTCTCTGTGAAATCCAGTTCCCACACTGTGTCAACCCATTCTAGGGGAAAAGGCAATGAAATTTGTAAGTACTCTGTAATAAGGAAGAAAAACGAATCATCTCTAGATTCCAGGTATGTTCAAGAGGAGAAAAGTTAGTCACAATTCATATTTAACTTGTTATAACAATATAGATGTAGCATAATAAAAAAAAAGCAGAAAAGGTTAAGAGAATCTTTTCTCTTTTTTTTCGTTTTAATTCAGTCTCCTTAGAGACTGTCAAAAATTGTCAGTGCCGACTATATTGTAAGTTCTCACAGCGGGGTATTGGGAAAAGTTTTCAATTGGCAATAATTATGCCTTGGATAAACCTCATTGGCTACGATACTGCCACTGCACAAAGCTTAAGAGAATCTTAAATCACAAGTGAGAGCTGACTATTAGGCTAATCAGAGTCTAAAAATATAAAGGAACACTTTTAAGATATAAGAGTTTTGGGAAAGGACACTTCAAAACATTTCGTGATCAGGCTTAGGAAAGCCTGATGTGTAATCTATGTGTAATCTAGAGAAGAAACAGAGGTTAATCAGATTGCCCAAGATGTCCCTTTGTGAAAATATCATAACAAAGTTAGTAAGTGCAAATAAAATATATAGCACTTTATCGGGCCTTTGGACAAGAATGTATTATTTAAAAAAGTTATAATTTCTCCAGGAAGTTTAAAATATGGAGGCTAGCCAGACTCAGACTCTCAGAAATACTCAGTGACTTTAAAATACACTGACTGAAAGAATGTACATTGAGAGGAACGATATTAAGACAGCATGCTGGATGGACTCCTTAACAACCTCTCTCAACTCTAAATCTTCCCATTCTTTTCTAACAAACTATATTTCTTCAGTGTTTTTGTTGTTATTCTCCCAAACTAAAATTAGTACCAGATGGGCCAGGTGTGGTGGCTCATGCATGTAATCTCAGCATTTTGGGAGGCCCAGGCAGGTGGATCACAGGGTCAGGAGTTCAAGACCAGCTTGGCCAAGATGGTGAAACTGTCTCTACTAAAAATACAAAAATTATCCAGGCGTGGTGGCAGGTGCCTGTAATCCCAGCTACTCAGGAGGCTGAGGCAGAGAACTGCTTGAACCCGGGAGGCAGGGGCTGCAGTGACCGAGATTACGCCATTGCACTCCAGCCTGGGTGACAAAGCGAGACTCCGTTTCAAAAAAAAAAAATTATGACTAGATGGAAATGTGGACATCTCAGACAAATTATTAATCAGGCATTCCTTCAAGTTAATATTAAAAGTATTTGTTCGTCACTGATTTAGAGAAATTGGGCAGGGTATAAAGAAAGAAAAAACAGAGATGCAAGCATTACACTGCACTCAGCAAATGATAGGCCTTACACTCAACTAGGTCCGTCCTCCTTAGAATACAATCTGCTTATTATCTTTTGTCACTTGAACTTGACCCTGGAGGAGGGAGTCTCTGTGCACAGCATTCCTTCCAAAGACATGAAATATGCTGCCTGAAAGATGATCTGAAAATACAATTGTATCTTTCTAAATTTCCATTAATGTTTTAAAGAACACAGCAAAAGTTATGTCACTCCTTCTTTTGGTTTTGCTTATAATAGTTCCCTACTGTAAATACCATCAAATCTAATTTGGATGAAAGTAACTGGCCCTGTTATCTACCATTTGGTCACAGAAGTCTTCTGTGTTGATCGTTGAGTGAGAATATAGTAGACATTGAGTTTGATTTTTTTCAATATCCTTACACTATTCAAACCAAATCCCTCACTATCTATTTTCTCAACTGTCAAATGCAGATAACTTCTGCTCTACTATTTCACTTAGGATGGAAGAAGAGGAGCAAATACATCATTTATTCACTCAACAAACACTTTGAGAAAATACTAGGGAAGCCACTTACAGTGCTACGAATACAAAGATGAATGCTAGCGGGTTCTTGTCCACAAAGATGGGAACATTTCACACTTAGCATACCAAAAAAAGCAGCCGATGATAGAAGAGAGGCCACTGAATTTTGAGTCAGAACAAGGCAAATATCCTGACTTGATCACTTACACATTATTAGTCTCTTCTTCATCATTAGAAATACAGGATTTTTGTGAAAGATAATGTGTAAAAAGGGCCTAACAATGTGCTAGCCACATAAAAAACAGCAAATAGATGGTATTTATTATTTCTGCAGTGGATGAGTGTTAAAATAATAGATATATAAAATGTAACATGCTAGAGAACTTAATAGAGAATACTACTGGAGAAGAAAGAGGAGAGGAGTAAGATGATTCTTCAATTGGGCCTGAATGTAAGAGTTCTGCAAGGCAAATGCAGAAAAGTGCATCCCAGCAAGCACAGTGTAATAAAGCAGAAACAGAAAGAAACGAAAGTATTTCAAAATGAACAAAATTTTTAAAACATAGAGTTTGGATGTGGAGGGTGAGAATTACTATCTATTCAGCAGTTATTATGTGGCAGGTACAATATTTATCTTTACAAAACCCCTGTGAGGTAGATACTGTACTTCCCATTTGACAGATCAGGAAAGCGGTGTTTAGCAAGAATAAGCAACTCGCACGGTAACACATGGATGCTATGGGGTAGAGCCAAGAGAGCAATCCAAGTGTGTCTGACTCCAAAGGGCATGCTCTTTGAAAAGCATACTACAGAGAATGGTGAAGGCTCTTATAAATCATGCTAAGGATCTGGTTCATTTATTTAGGAAACAAAGGGGAAACATTAAAGGTGTACAGCCTTGACACATTCAAAGCTGTGTTTTCAAAATTCGTTCTGCAAATTGTGGGGGATGGGCTGGCACAGTTAACATCAGAAAGCGGCTAAAATACTCCTGCAATTGCTCAAGGCTGACTAAGATGAAGCCCTGAGCCAGGGCAGCAGCATCAGGAATGGAGCAGGGTGGCCCTGAGACACCTCAGAGGCAGGACAACTGGTGGTGGTGGTGGGCATAAAAGGGGAAGCAGAAATGCCAGGATGCCTGGGTTGGTGGCTTGGCTGGTGCCATTAGCAGGCTTTGGGAATCCCACTTTCACTCATGTGACCTTTGATGACGTCTGCATGAGACATCCCATTGAACCTATGAACATGAAGTTCAAGAACTAAGTCTGGGTGAAGAAAGAGATTTGCAATTTAAGACCATCTTAATAGATAAAATTAGGTGTACTGTGGGAAGTAGAAAAGTTCCTTTTTAAATGTTTCTTTTCTTGTTAAATCTTTAAGTGTGCCAATAACTCTTTGTTAAGCTCTATCCTGTGTAACTGTTAGATATGCCCTTGCTCACAGGCACATAGTACATTCTATGTCCTTGTACTTTAACCAAGATATCTGCTCTGAACGTGCTCACAGGCATGTTGCAGTTCTCCAATGCTTTTTACCTGTTTAAAAAGTTTTAAGTTATTAACCAGTTGGGTTTTAGTTTAAATTGTGAGGTCTGGCTCTAGCCTTGGGAGATCAGACACAGCAGTAAAAACAACCCCAAATGCATAAGGAAAAAATTTGTCTCTCTTCCTTTGTTCACTGTACTTTTGTGGCAAGATAGCTAGTGAGAGTACCCTTCCTGCAGCCCAGGAAGTAAAAATTGCGTCGCTGAAATATCCTTTATCTCAGTGCTAATTTTCCTTTGTGGCACGGAACATCTATTTCCAACATGCACAGGAAGACAGGGAAGGCGGAGAAAACAGATGCACAAGCGCTAGAAGAGACCGGCCTACCTTTGGTTATTGTTAAGAGTGGCCTGGCCAGTTTGACGCCCCATAGGAAACCTGGCTGGCCGCAATCCCGGTGTGGCACGGGCCTGGGGACACCAGGGACCAACAGGAGCTGAGCGCCCCCTCCCCGCCCCCACCCACACCCTGGCCCGGGCTTAGGCACCACAGGGGACGCAAAGGACACCCCCGGCTCACCGAGGCTAAGATCCAGCGGACACCAGGGCTGCAGGCCACTCCCAAGGCCCCGCAGCGCCACCATGATACCCAGGGTACCGGCTCGCAGTCGCAGCACTCAACTTTCAAAGCTCGCTCCCGCGCGCGCGCCGAGGCGTTCCTGCGGACCAATCACAACGTACAGAATTTCCTACCCGCCAATCACTGCGCCGAGCCGTTTCCATTCGCTCAACCAATCACCTGCATCGTCTGCCGCAGGCGCAAAGAACCGGTCGGATAGAAGACTGGAAGCTAAACGAGGTTGTTACGCTCTGTCGTTCAAGGAGGAACCAGGGCCTGAGTTAAACCCTAACAGCGTCTTTCCCTTCTCGTTTTTCTTCAATGGGAGGCAATCTAAAGGGTATCTGAGACAGGGTACTTCCGGTAGTAACTGTCACCTTTGCCCTCTTCAGGTGACATTTCGCTCGTGTCAAAGGGCTGCCTTTCCCGTCAGACAGCACTGGAACAGTGTAATATCCGAATGTGGAAGGCAGCCCAACTTGCATGGAGCTAAAGCAATAAGGAAAAAGCAGCCAAAAGCACTCCCAGAAGACAGCTGCAGCTCTGTGGACTCAGCGGCACGCGTAGGCCCGGAGCGCGTCCCAGCGAGGCCACGGCTGCCATGTCGACCGCGGGAGCGCCTGGCGCGCTCTCCCTGCGCAAGCGCAGCGAGTTATCCTGGCGGCCCGGAGGTCCCTGAGCGGAGGAAAAGGATGCGCATGCGCGCGGCTGCTCCAACGCATCCGGGCTGGAGCTCTCCCGCCCCCTCCCCCGCCCGGAGCTGCCCCAGCGCCTCGGTGCGTTGCACCGCCGGAGGCTGGGCAGGTAGCAGCGCTGCTCCGCGCTGGACCCCACCCGGCAGGCGTAGGCCACGCACACCTGCCTCTGTGTGGCTGTCCTGCGCAGAATTGCACCACCGACCCTCGCCTGCCCACTGCCACCGGCCGCTGGACAGGCTGGGACTGGCTCGGCGCAGGGCACTGCTCCTCGGTGCATTGCTGCTCCGCGCTGCAGCCCGCAGCCGCCCGCCTCCCCCGGCCGTGCCCCTCCCGCGTGGAGCCGGCTATCCGTCTGCGCCCACTGCCCCGTGGCAGCGGCGGAGCCGGGCAGCGCGCGGCTGCCAAGCGCGCTCGCGCTTCGGGCCCTCTGGCCTTCCCTCCTTAGGGCAGCCCGCGCCCCGGTGCAAGGGAGCGGTCCTTACCAAGACGCGCCCGGTCCGGCGGTGCAATGAGCTTCTTCGGCTTCGGGCAGAGCGTGGAGGTGGAAATCCTTCTCAATGATGCGGAGAGTAGGAAGCGGGCCGAGCACAAGACGGAGGACGGGAAGAAGGAGAAATATTTCCTCTTCTACGACGGGGAGACGGTCTCCGGGAAGGTGAGCCTTGCGCTCAAGAACCCCAACAAGCGACTGGAGCACCAGGGCATCAAGATCGAGTTCATCGGGCAGATCGGTGAGTCGACCCCCACGACGCCCTCCCCCAGCGCGGACAGCCGGCCGGGGCGCCGACTGGGGAGCGAACGCGGAGCAGGCCGATTCAGGGCCCAACTCTGGTGAGGCCTGTCACAGTCACTTGTCAACTGCAGTCTGAGGCCTGGGGTTCAGCCGCAAGTCCCGCCCGTGGGCGACTCCCCCTGCGTTACTGTTCTCTCTGCCATAAGTAACAGCGCGCTGCCAGGGAGATGGGGATGGCGAGGGCGGGAGGGAGCTCCTGCTGTGCCTCGTGGGATGAGCACCCTGCCTGTGGGTTCTCCCATTGTCTCTTCAGCATGCACTCAGCTTTGCTTCTTGTCCCCAGGATATCAGAGTGAGGTGCTGTGGCTATAACCTGCAGGTGGGTTTTTTAAGGGGAGACCGCTCTGCCAATACTGGCTTTCCCATCTACCAGCCGTCAGCAACTGCCAGACGCAAAGTGAGGCTGATCCACTGAGCCCCACTTCCCTGCGCCCCCACCAACTCCTTTTTCTCTTTAGATGTGGTGTGAGAGAGCTAACCAGTTCTCTTATCTCACCTCAGCCCTGAACTACCTGTGCTTGTACATGTTTCCAGAGAGAAGACCTGTAATCTTCAGTCTAAATCTGACTACCTAAGCTGCATTTCTTAGACTTCTTTATTAGAATGCGAGTTTTCGGTTACCAAATTCTCTCTTTGAAGACAAAGAAATGGTGTTTCTAAAACCACAGTTAAGTGATCAGAGTTTCTCAATGCTCTTAACGGCCTTTAAAGGTGATTAGATGATTATTAATCATTAGAACTAGACAGGGCCAGGCACAGTGGCTGACGCCTGCAATCTCAACACTAGGTAGCTGAAGCCGGAGGATTGCTTGAGGCCAGGAGTTAGAGACCAGCCTGGGTAATATAGCAAGACCTGTCTCTACCCCAAAAAAATTTTTTTAATTAGCTGGGCATGGTGGTGCATGTCTGTAGTCTTAGGGAGGCTAAGATGTGAGGATTGCTTGAACCCAGGAGTTCCAGGCAGCAGTTAGCCATGGTGACACCACAGCACTTCAACCTGGGTGACAACCAGGAAGACCCTGTCTCAAAAAATAAATAAGAACTAGACAGTAAAAGGCAGTAAAGTGATTTGGGGAGCTCCCTGTCAAGACTGGGTTGTCTCCAATGCTAAGCCTGTTTCGACTCTTGTGTGTTATTAAAACGCTTGGGTACTTCTAAAATAATTTTTTTTTTTGTCATTAAGTTAGTAGTAGAATCACAGTAAATACCCTGTGGGCTGCAAACACTTCTGGTAGAGAATCTATACCTATACCACCCACTGCATACATAACTGTTTTTGGAGACTTCCCTGGGGAAGCTTTGTTAAACCCTCTCTCATATCCTGAGAGTTTAGCAGAGAATTTGCTCTCTCCTTTTCACAAAGGCAGGAAACACTGAGACACAGGCTGGCTCTTGGGTCCACTGCTCAGCTTCAAGAATTTTTTGTCTCCGGTATTTAAGAACATGAAATCAGGTGAAGACTGGCTGATCCTATAGGAAGCTCTTTGTTGTTATTTTAAAGCCAGAATACAAAAGGCCTGTTGCTATACCAGAAGAGGGGCCGAAGAGTTCCATGCTTCCTGCTTATGGGTTCAATGGCAGGGTAGTTGGCAAGGTTCCTCAGCAGCAATACTGTGATGTCTGGGATCCCTTGGCATGTTGTCGTAGGATGTTTAGCAGCATTCCCAGATTCTACTGACCAGACAACAGTAGTATCCCAGATTTGTGACCACAAAAATGTCTTGAGATATTGCCATATATGCCCTGGAGGGTAAAATCACCTCTAGCAAAGAACCCCAGGATAAATAGCAAGAGTCCAAAGCATATTATGCTAAGCATAGTAACCAGTTCAGAAATCCTTGCCTACTGAGCAAGGGTATTTTTTAGTAGTGGTTTTAAATTTATTGCATTGATTCTTTGGCTCCATAATAATAGTGTTGACAGGCATGTTTAGTCTGTGTCTATACCATTACTCCCAGGTGGTAGTACCTTGCCAGTATGTGAAAGATAATCCACAATGTCTTCTACCCCAGACGGTGTGAAATGAGCTGTTCTAGGAACAGTGTCAAGGCCTTCCTCTGGTCTAAATGAAAGGGAGCTGAAGAAGCTGCTTGCTGTGCCTGCTCCTCTGGTTTCTTGTCTAACTCCTTACTCCTGAGACATCCATCATCCCTGCTGAATTTTCCAGAACTTTTGTTGCTTCCACTGGTAACTCTTCCTCGGCCCTTGGGCACCCTGGGCTGAGTTGACCATGAGACTTTGGGGAGTTTAGCCACTCTCTGGGCCTCGGCTTTCTCAGCTATCAAGCCAGGAAAATAAAATCACTTGGTGAGAATGTTGGGCATGTCAGGGGATCATGCATGACCCTTATAGAGGGTTCCTTTATAAAATTATGGTAGTTGATGCAGTAATGTTTCCATTTCACAAATTCAGTTATCACTCACTGATTTGCTCTTCTTCCCTCTATACCTATTTTACCTCAATAAGATCACCCTGTCTGCTGATAGGGAGTGCATGTTTCAGCCCTTTGCCTTAAATCTCTTATTTCGGCCACATGGGCCAGTCTCAGCTGGTGTTGTAGATGGAGCCAATCCCAGCTTTGTGCAAAAGTATATTGTTCACGCTTAATTATCCATGGTTACATGAGGACATGGAAATAGAATAATGCAGAATGCTTCTTATTATTTGGCTTTGGGATGTATTTCTTGATCCAGAACAAGGCATAAGAGTTAATCTTTGTAGTTATATTTGATGTGAAAGGAAGGTTGTATTCCTAAAATACACACATTGACAGGTAGTAAAGATGGACCAGCCTATTTGGAAGCACAGAGTGACTTTTCTTAGACTCTTATATTCCTCCTATTTTATCTTCCTAGTTCCCCGAAAGAAGCATGTTGTGAAGTATTTGTATCATACACCTATGTCAGTCATCGTGAACTGAGCTTGGGGTACCAGAGCGAGGCTAGTGAGTGAGTTTGCCGAAGTTGTGGTCTTGTGGTTTTCTCCTTCATTGCATTCTTTGACTATGTGCAAAATGGGTGGAACTTCTGTCAGTTCTGAGATCAGGCTGACGGGGTGGCATATGGCAGTAATCAAGTTAAGAGCACTGAGCTCTGTGCCTCTTCCTTGTTGATTTGGAGGCAAGCAGGCAAAGGTATCACTTTTATCTTCTGTCCCTTCTCATTCTGTCACTTGCTGTGGCAATCTCATCTGCACCAAAGACTTTTTTTCTTTATTCTTTATTTAAAAAAATTTTGAGACATGCTCTCACTCTGTCACTCTAGCTAGAGTACAGTGCCACAGTCACATCTCACTGCAGCCTCAACCTCCTGCGCTCAGTCGATCCTCCCATCTCTGCCTCCCAGGTAGCTAGTACTAGAGGTGCATGCCACCACATCCAGCTAATTTTTTTAATTTTATGTAGAGATAGGATCTTGCTTTATTGCCCAGGCTGGTTGGGAACTCAAGTGATCCTCCCACCTTGGCCTCCCAGAGTGCTGGGATTACATATATGAGTCACTATGCTGAGCCCCATGAATTATATTTGATGACTCCAAGACTATTTCTTTATCCTGACCAGACCTCTCTTCTGAGTTTCACACCTGTCTTTCCAGCTGCCTTCTAGACATGTCCACCAGGATACCCCACAGGTGTCTCAGAAATGCATGCAAACACAAAGCCCTCTTTTTGTCTCTGCCCCAGCCACAGCCCCACTGCTTCTCCTTTTTTCCCGTTTTGGCCTTTGTCACCTAGGTTCATTTAGCCTCAGAAATCGAGAAATCATTTGGAACCCTTGGCTCCTCCTCCTACCCATGCAGTTGGCCGCTAAGTTTTGGCCATCTCTGCTAACTCTGCACTATATCTTAAACCGGCGTCTTCTCTCTATTCTCAATGCCATTGCCTTTTATTTTCTGTTTGTAGCAGCCTCCTAACTGGTCTTCCTGCTTTTGTCTTCCTCCCCTTTCAGGTCATTTTCTGTGAGGATGAAGTTTCTTAAAGGCAGTTCTATCATTGTCAGTCCTTCCTTAAAATTCTTGCCTCCCTGTTGGTTAATGGGGGAAAGTATATCCAAATCCCTCCTGTGCTGGCCCTGCCTCTCTTTTCAGCCTCTTCTCCACCAACCCCTCATTTTCACGACTTGTAGGTTCCACACACTATCCTTTTCTTCTAGAATCTTGGTATTTTCCCTTTGTATAGTAACATCTTTCTGCACGATACTACCTTCCACCCAAACTCTTACTTCTTCAAAGCCTAGCTAACATCACATCCATCAGAAAGTCTTCTCTGATTTCCCCAGGCTGACTTAAGTGCTTCCCCTACTGTTCTTCCAGAGGCCTCATTAATACCTCTTTTCAAACAGGATTATGACAAGGTTATGACTTTTAAAAACTTGTCTTTCTCACTAAATCCTGAGCACCTGGGAGCCAGGGACTACCTTCAGTCTATCATTAGTGTGGTGTCTAATCTCCATTCTCAGTGGTTAGCACATAGAAGGTGCCTAGTAAGTATTTGTTAAATGGATACATTGGTCAGATATAAGAATTTACAGAAACTATTCTTCGTTTTGTTTTTTTTTCCCTGATCTCCTCCCAGACAAGCAAGAATTACTTTAATGAAAGAAAGACAGAATTCAGGTGTGCTTTGCTGGTTGAGCGACTGGGTTTCCGGCTTTTGTTATGCAGGAGGCATTGATGAGCAACTTGTAGCTCTCCATCGAGGCCGCTGAGAACTCGGTGATTCACCAGCTGGCGTGCCCCCACTGGGGCTGCGTCCTTACTCGGGGAACTGGGATAAGGAAGTGTTAAAGCTGATGTGAGTTTACCTGCCTTTACATCTTTCTTTCCTCACACTCTCCTGTGCCAAGTCGAAACTGATTTTCCCTTGTGTATAAGAACGGAAGAGTTGTCAGACCTCTGGTTCATTTGGTCCTACACCACTGCTCAGATGTGGCAGTTTGAACATTGCCCCTTGAGAGTATAAGATCTTATTTAAGCTGGGCGTGGTGGCTCACGCCTGTAATCCTAGCACTTTGGGAGGCCAAGGTGGGTGGATCACCTGAGGTCAGGAGTTCAAAACCAGCCTGGTCATCATGGTGAAACCCCATTTTTAAAAAAAAAAAAAAAAGATCTTATTTATTCACTTATATTGTGCATGTTTTCCTGTTATCCTCTGCAAGTTTTTGAGCCATGCTGGGATCCTTCCTGTACCTAGCATACTTTTCCAGTGGCTTGGTCTGTATTATAACAATACCAACACATGTGGTGAGGGCATCGCTTGGGTCAGGCCCATAGAATAGAAAGGTCTAAGACCTAGTCACCCTAATGGCCCACGTTTCTAGAAAGATGCAGTAGCTGTAGTCTGTATGGAGCACTGTAAGGAAAGACTGTAATTGTGAGAAGAAGAGACCATTTGTTTAGCTAGAATCCTTTGGGGAACAACTGGTGAAAGTTAGAAAGCAGACCTGGGCCGCCTTGGAGACTAATGGGGTTTAATAAACCAAACATAATGAGAAAGTCAGACACGTAGAGGAGGGCAGACAGGAACATCCCTGTACTCCAAAGCCAACAGACATTATCTGGATTTTTTTTTTTTTTTAAGGTTTTAATAAACCCATTAATACCAGTCAAGCCCACACTTTAAAAATCTCTAGAGGCTTCTGTATTTTAATTCGTTAGCCCTTGAAATACTAAGTAAAAGGCATATTAAGATGAGATGGATTGCTTCTTAACAAGCTACTGGTGGGACTGGAGCAGAGGTTTGCCTGGCAAGGTGTGGGCCGCCCAGAGGTGCCAGTGCTTGCAGATTTCCCAGGGTTAGCAGATAGGAGTAGGGTGTGGGAAACCCAAATCCTGACAGTGGCCAGCCAGCAGACAGTGGCTGGGAAGGTCAGATGAACAGGAGGCTCTTTGAAGGACTTTTTACGCTTTGCTGACTTAGGTTTCTTCCAAGACCACACGAGGCCTAGAGTAAACATGGCCTCAGCGGAGCAGCAAAGTTTAGGACGGCTGTCATGGGTGAACTGTGATGCAAATCGGGCTCAGTTTCCTACCAGAATAGCAAATTCACTTCTCAACTGTTGGTGGCAAGTTTCACCATGAAAACATCCTGAGTACAAAAGTTATTTCCTCCTGTTGGACTGAGAAGGAAACCAAAGACAGGGTAGTTACCTTAACCAAAAACTTACTCAGTTCCTACTTCTAGCCTGACATCCCTGGTCTCTGAGGACTGGTGATTGGGAAGAATGAAAGATGACTTGTGGTTGCTTCTTTAGGATGGAATAGAGGCTTTTTTTAGTTTCTAGGTCCCAGACCTCTTGTGAGAATAGCCTTGGATTTTTGTTTTAATTTATGCAAGAGGAAACCAAACTTTCTGGTAAGTGGGAAGCACGGCTGTGTCTGCCCCTTTGCCCCACAGTGTTTGCAGAAGTATTGCAGATGGCTTAGAAAGGATAGATTAAGAAGGCCGGGCCAGCCCTGCTCTGACCTCACCCTGGCCACTCTTCCATGATATTTGATGTCAGAGCTGATATTAATGTGTGTCCAGAAGGAAAGGCACTAGGGAAAACGTGATGCTATGCAGGGAATGACTTCTCCTCCTCCAGGATCCCTGCTGGGGCAGGCAGAACCTTCTGCATTGTTGCTAGGCTCCATGATGCTGGCAGCCTGAATGCTCTTTGCACCTTCTCTGTTTTGTTTCTTCCTGATGTTGCCTTTGGGCCGTGTGATCACACTTTTGTATTTTTCTCTTTCCTTCTTCCTCTTGACTCTGGAACATTGATTCTGGACACTGGGGCCTTGCTCTGCCTGCTTCTGTCCCCTGAAACTATGGCCGGAATCTAGTGCTTAGAAACTGAGGTACCAGATTCCCAAGTCAAGGTTTCGGCTTCCACATGGAAGCCAACACCATCAATCAGGACTCATGTTACAAGAGTAAGCAGAGGAGTCCCTCTCCCTGGGGCTGGCCACAACTCCGCTTCTACCTGTCCCACACTTCTGACTTCTATTGGGGGGCATAGTCACCTTCCCCCCATAGTCTGGAGCTGCCACCTTTGACTCTGAGGCTTTGTGGATTATCACTTACTACCCAGAATGCTGCCTACCACTGAAACCACTGAGTGTTTGGAAGGGAAGGTGCATTGTTTGTAATAAAAGATTGTTCGTGGCTGACCAGTTACACAGGAAACCAGCCACAAGCCATAGCCACATAATACACTGAATTCATACAGAAGTGACATCACTAGTACGGGGTTATTCACACTACTGCCACCTTCCCAAGTTGTATAAATGACAAAGCCCATGCTGCTTCCGAATGCCTTCCTTTTGGGGCCAGCTCATAGACCAGCAAGGGGATAGATTTTGCACTCAGACTGAAATGTACCACCTAAAGCTGTTTTTTTCTTTCTGGGGCTGATTTTTTTCCCCCTAGGATGGGGTTGAACATTATGGTGGCTCTGGGGAGGCAAGAGATCTGGTTTCTTGGGTCCAAGAAGGCTTTGATTCTAATCGGGACTCAGATCTCTGCTGTCCAGCGTGGACCCAAAACAGACACACTTCCCCTACAGTCACTAAAGCCCAAGAGAGCTAACCTATCGCCCGGGTTATCCCCAAGAGAACTCACCTCCTGTGTCCCGGAGATGCTGCGGACTGGGCCTAGTGGTCCCACAGACTCCTATCTATGGACTCACCTCTTCCTCCCCAAGCAGCAAACCACAGAGGCAATGAGTGCTCTACCTGCTCTGTGTTCTTAATTCATCTGCCCTGCTGCAGGCTGCAGTCTAGCTTGGGACTTGAACCCAGAATCCTTGAGGGGTGGAGGCTTGAACTGTAATGTGGCCATGCATAGCCACAGTCAGTATTAAGAGATCACCTCTGCAGGGCCAGGTTCTAGGAAGCACCAGGAAGCTGGGGATGCGGGAGCGGTGGGGAGGGACCATGTATATAGCAAAATTTATTCTTAAAGAGAATGCAAGCAGACATAAAATAATATAGGACAAATGGGTGGCATGAACTTATCAAGAAATACCAGAACTATTTCTTGAAGAGAATAAATTTAGAGCAATCCTTCTCAAAGTGTGATAACAGCAGTCCCGGGGAGCTTATTAGAAATGTCAATTCTCAGGCCCAACCCCAGACTCCTAAATCAGAAACACTACTGGGCGTTCCAGCAATCTGTGTGTTAATCCGCCCTCCAGGTGACTCTGATGCACACTGAAGCTTGACAACTCCTAATTTCACTAAAGGGAATAACATGAAAATGTCCGTGTTCGATTGGCCACATGCCTTCCTTTTGGAGTGATAGCAGCAGCTAGTAACTGTTTTTGAGTATTTGCTATGTCCTAGGTACTGTTCTAAGTCTGTCACCTGCATCACCCCTGCCACCTCACACACAGCCTTGTGAAGTGGGTTGTGTCATGACCTGCATTATACCAGGTGATAGAAATAGATGCAGTCTAGGAGGAGACCTGCTCTAGTCCCAGCTCTGCAGCCAGCTCTGCGACTGCAGGCCAGCCAGTTAACCATGCTGTGCCTCAGTTTCCGTCATCTCTTAAATGGGGTGATAAGATCTGTCTTTGCTGTCTCGGAAGACTAATATCGTAAGGCTGAAATGAGTAAATAACTATATCCTTTCAGAAGTTGGAAGTGTTAAACAGAAATGCTGCTGTTTAAAGAAATGTGGCATTTCTTATATTGGCCCCCATGACTTATCCCTTATTAAAAGATGATTATTTGGGGTTCCTTTTCTGCCACAGGATTTCACTATATAAAACAGAAGAGCCTTTGGAGAAGGAGGAGGGAGTGAAAGAGTGGAGGTCAAGGAAACAAAGCTAGAAGGGGTCTGTTCTGTGGGGAGGTCCTTCTGAAAAGCAGTGCCTCCAGCCCAGAGCCTCCTCACTCGGCCGGGTGTAGCTCAGGGTCTGATAAAGGAGGGCATTGCTGTCTCTCACCAGAACTCTACTACGATCGCGGGAACCACCATGAATTTGTGTCCCTGGTAAAGGACTTGGCCCGGCCTGGAGAGATCACCCAGTCGCAGGCCTTCGACTTTGAATTTACCCACGTGGAGAAGCCGTATGAGTCCTACACAGGGCAAAATGTGAAGCTACGGTAAGTTGTGTCTGCTGCTTCCTTGCTGTGCCCTAGAACCTGCCGCATGTGGACCAGGACCTGAGGCTGATCCACTTTGAGGCTCTTCATAGGGATCCGGAGAAGGAAGAATATTGCAAGCTGTGGCATGCTGGTAAACCTTTAACCATGGGCTTTCTAGGAGGAAAGTGCCCCTAGTTTGTAGCAGGTGTCAAACAAAGGTTTAACTCTGTAAGATGAATCCACACATGGCAAAGGATTTTTGCAGGTAGCTAGTTTCTAGTTTTTATCATGGGACATTCGGTGTTTCACTATGGGCTTCAGTGGGCTGAGAAATGTCCCTTCAACAGTGGCCAATTCACATGGCCAGTTTCAAGCTACCAACCTAATGTTCCTAAATGTAGAGGTGGCAAAGATGTACGCTAGCCACCCTTACATAGCACTAACATCATTTGGAGGCACATTCCCTTAAGAGCAGAGAGCACTGTAAAGGGCCGGAAAATAGGAAGTGATGAGATTTTATACCTTTGTTTTTAATATGAGTCATTTAATTGTAAGTTTATGTAATTTAAATAATTGCTGTGTTTAACAGCCAGTTCATAAAATTTGTCTCAAATTCAACAGTCAGCCACCCCCAGCACACCCCTGCTGGCTGGGTGTCAGGAGCTCCTGACCTGCTGTCCAGCTCTGCCACACAGCTGTGGTGTGATCTTGAGCTCTGTAAACTCAGCCTTCTCACTTCAAAAGTGGATAACAGATTTGGATTCTAATTCTAGGTGTCTTCTCCTTTGGGGAGTGATAAGAAAATAAAATAATAACACAGTGTGACAAGTTCTTAATATATTAATGATCACATAGGTACATGGATTGCTTTTACTGTTAGTCTTGGAAACTCTGAGAATAGGGACTGATGCCAAGGTCTCTTGGGTGAAAAAAATCCACAGCAGCTATAGACTTTTAGATGTAACCTTGAGATTTTCTGATGCCACTGGGATAAAGCAGTCTCCCCTGTCACTCTGAACACCTGATTCCAGGTCATAAGATCAGCTTGTTTCCTCACCTGAGGACCTGAGTTTAGGAAGGTGCAGACCACAGCAAGTACCTTTAACTTCCCTTCTTTCTCTATTCTCCCTTCTTCCATCAGAAGAGTGAAGGCTAATTTTAAATCTTTGCAGAGATGGTGGCTCACACCTGTAATCCAAGCACTTTGGCCAGGAATTCAAGACCAGCCTGGGCAATATACTGATACCCCATTTCTACCAAAAAAAAAAAAAAAAAATTATTTTTTTCCCCCATTTATTTATTTTATTGCATTTTAGGTTTTGGGGTACATGTGAAGAACATGAAAAACTGTTGCATAGGAACACATGTGGCAGTGTGATTTGCTGCCTTCCTCCCCATCACCTACATCTGGCTTTTCTCCCCTTGCTATCTCTCCCCAGCTTCCCACCCCCCCAAACAAATTATTTTTTAAAGAAAAAACAAATCTTTGCAGAGAAGTCTAAGGCTGACATGACACCCAGTAAAGACAGTGTTTCATAATTGCACCCAGAGAAAGTAGCGAAATGAGGGTTATCTAGTCATCACTTAAGTTTGGCTAAGGGATTTATTATTTAATTTATTTTGCAGTGGATTTGTCATAAGTGTTTTTATGGCAGAAGGAAAGGTTGGAAACAGTATAGTGGTGTCTCAAAAAGTTAAACAGAATTACCATATCATCCAGCAGTTCCACTTTTGGATCCACTTCTAGATCCAAAATAATTGAAAACAGGATCTCAAATCGATATTTGTACACCCATGTTCACAGCAGCATTATTCACAATAACCAAAAGGTAGAAGCAACCCAGGTGACCATCAGTGGGTGAATAGATAAAGGAAATGTGGTCTGTCCCTACAGTGGATTATTACGCAGTCTTCAAAAGGAAGGACATTCTGTCCTGTGCTACAACATGGATGAACCTAAAGGAAAGTATGCTATGTGAAAGAAGCCAGTCACAAAAGGACAAATACTGTCTGATTCCATTTATAGGAGGTACCCAGAGCAGTCAAATTCATAGAGACAGAAAGTAGAATGGTGGAGGCCTGGGGCTGAGGGGAGGAGGAAATGGGGGTTGGTGTTTAATGAGTAGAGTTTCAGTGGGGAAGGGTGGAAAAGTTCTGGAGACTCATGGTGATGTTTGCACAACAATATGAATATCATTAATGCCACTGAACTGTATAATTAAATATTGTTAAAGTGGTAAATTTTATGTTATGTGTATTTTACCACAATAACAGAAAAATGTTAATGTGCAAATCTCATGAAGATGTTAGGGTTCATGTTGTGAAAGAGAGGGGGTAAAGTTGGGAAAATTAGTTGAGGATAAAGATGTAACTTCCAGATTAAAAGCTTGTATCTTATTACACAGGCAGAGAGAAAACATGAAAAGATTGTTGTGGACTTTTTTTCTTGTTCTTAGGCAAAAGTTTATTTTGGAAGATTAGAGTCAATATGTAGCATTTGGTGGATGGGAAGAGTGTAGAGACAAAACTATCAGAAGGCTGCTGTGAGGACCTCAGAGTATGATTTTGGTGGCTGCAATGGGACAGAGAGAAAATGAGGAATTTGGTAGCCACCAGCAGAGATTACCAGTGAGTGGAGGCATGTAGCTGTGAAGATGGAGACAGAGAGCTATCAGGAGGAAGAAATGATCTGGAGATAAGGTGATTCATCCACCTCTAGACGGCAGGCCGAAGTACTGGCAAAATAGAGAAAGCATAAAAGTTTACCAGACAATTGGAAGCACAAACCTTGCACTAAGGACAGAGGGGAGACTTAGAAATGTGCAGTCAGGACTGATCTGCTCAGAGGTTATAACTGATACATTTTTGAAGAAAGGAAGCACAGGGGGAGGAGAGCCAGGACCCACTGCAGGCTGGCAGGAGGCGGAGAGGGGGTAAATCAGGGCAGTGTCCCTGTGGAACCATGGGAAAAGCATTTCAAGGAAGAAATGTTTCAAGGAAGAAGTATTTCACGTGACACAGAAGCAAGGGCTGCTAGATTTGGCACCTGGGAGGCCACGGGTTACTAACATCAAGGCGAGCGGTTTCTGTTGGGTGGTGGAGACAGAAGCAAGGGGCTGGGAGGAGCGGCTTGTAGAGAATCCACAACTGTTGGTGCAGAACCCATCTTGTGACAGTTGTCTCTGAAGAAAGAAAGGGAAAGTATGGTAGGTCAAGAGGGTAAGGCTTGGAGAGGGTTCTTGGGATTGGTGACTTTGGGGACCAAGTTTTTAATAAGCTCAGAGGAAAAAGCCTTTAGCTAGAGGGAGATTGATGATCTTGGGGAAATCAGAATATGTAGAAGGATCCAGATGCCAGACCAAGGCTCCCACACTGGAATCACGTGGGAAGCTTTTTAAAATGCTAATGCCTGTGTCCCCTTCCAGGGCAATCACATGTCAGGTGTGCTGGGCAGCAGGCTTCTTAAAGCCTTTCCTTTCCAGGTGATTTCAGTGTGCATCCATAATGGAGAGTTTTGTGCTGGAGGGAGGAGGAGAGGTCCTGAGAGGTCCTGAGAGGGAGGGGTGCTGGAGGGAGGAGGAGAGGTCCTGAGAGGGAGGGGTGCTGTTGGAGAGGGGATAGGTAAAGATGGAGAGACGTGTTTAGGCCCTAAGGAACAAAGCAGAGAAAGGAGCGCGTTGTAAGTGTTGCCTGGGAAGTCAGTCATCTTAGTGGAGTAAGAGGCAGTGTCTTCCTACACACTGGGAGGGAAACTTGGGAGTCTGAGCAGCTAGGAGAGGGCTGGGGACAGATGCCTTGGACAGTGTGATGGAAGTTACTGAGGTGAACCAAAAGGATCCCTGAGAAGCAGCCATAATGGGATAGCAGCCAAAATGTATAGCTGGTCTGGTTAGCATATCTTTATAACTTATCTGGTAATGCTTGACAGATGGTGGCGATTATCTAAGTTTTATTTAAAAGAAAATATAATTTATTATATTACATTAGATTATTTTTATTTTTTTGAGACAGTGTCTTGCTCTGTCACCAGGCTAGAGTGCAGTAGCACCATCTGAGCTCACTGCAACCTCTGCTTCCCAGGTTCAAGTGATTCTCCTGCCTCAGCCCCCCGAGTAGGTGGGAATACAGGTGTGCACCACCATGCCCAGCTAATTTTTGTATTTTTAGTAGAGATGGGGTTTAACCATGTTGGCCAGGATGGTCTTGGTCTCCTGACCTTGTGATCCGCCCGCCTTGGCCTCTCAAAGTGTTGGGATTACGGCGTGAGCCTAGATTATGTTAAAATAATGTGTTATGAAGAAGGAAGTACAATTAAAGAGCTCCTCCTCATTGAGTGTTAGCATAATGTTAAGTCGGGGGACAGGGATGCTGGGGAGGACAGTGCTGCACTGGCGGGCCACAGAGGGCAGCTTCTTAAACCAGAGCTGTGTCTCTGTCTTCGCCCTCATCCCCTACCACAGCAATGTCCTCCCCAAGGATCCTAGGTTCAGCCAGAGACTTGTAATTCAACAGACCAGGTCCTCTCTGCCTCTGTTGCATGTAAGGTTTACTCTTCTGAATGCCCTTTTCACCCTCCCCACAAAACTGGATTGTAGTATCTCAATTAGCCCTTTCCATGTGTTCCAGTTTCTCTATTTGCCCATCTCCCTCAGTGAACTGTGAGCTTCCCATGAGACTATCTTATTCATCCTGTGCTTAGTGCAGTGCTTAGCTCAGTAAATGTTTGTGGAGGCCAGGTGCGGTGGCTCACTCCTGTAATCCCAGCACTTTGGGAGGCTGAGGTGGGTGAATCACGAGGCCAGGAGATCAAGACCATCCTGGCTAACATGGTGAAACCCCATCTCTACTAAAAATACAAAAAATTAGCTGGGTGTGGTGGCGCACGCCTGTAGTCTCAGCTACTCAGGAGGCTGAGGCAGGAGAATCACTTGAACCCGGAAGGCGGAGGTGGCAGTGAGCCGAGATCGAACCACTGCACTCCAGACTAGGTGCCAGAGTGAGACTCTGTCTCAAAAAAAAAAAAAAAAAAAAAAAAAAAAAAAAAATAAAAAACCCAAAAAAAAAAAAAAAAAAAAAAAAAAACAGAAAAAAAAAAAAAAAAAAAAAAAAAAAAAAAAAAAAAGCGGAATGAATAGCTGACTTAATTTCTCTCTTTCCTAGTCCTCTCTTTTAACTTAAAAAAGGTTTATTGGGACACTTAAAAGGTTTATTGATTGAACAATATTCAGTGAACAAACATGCAAATATAAGAGTACGAGAGAGACTCCTTTGCCCCCAAAACCAGGAGTTAGTTGAAACATGGTTAATAGCGGTAAGGCCATGAAAGACCTAAGAATAACATATGATTAGAGAACAAGGCAGAGAAATCACTTTCCCTTAAGCAGGGTTCTTGACCCAGGGATATGGGCTTCATAAAGGGATTTTGGGGAAAGGGTCTTTGAACTCCCTAGAATGGTGGCTGAAAATTTTATGTGTAGGTACATACATGCATCTTTTCCTGGAACAGGGTCTGTAAATTCTTAAAGGGATGCAAAGCCCTCAACAGTTAGGAACCTTCATACAGGCTTCTCTGAAGTGGGCCAATTTGGTACCTGTGTCTAGGTAGCATCTGGAGAGTGGGAGTCTTTACTCATGACAGTTCCGTCCCCTGCAGCTATTTCCTCCGAGCTACCGTCAGCCGCCGCCTCAATGACGTTGTCAAAGAGATGGACATTGTAGTTCATACCCTCAGCACATACCCGGAGCTGAACTCCTCCATCAAGATGGAGGTTGGGATTGAGGACTGTCTGCACATTGAATTTGAGTACAATAAATCCAAGTAAGTGTCTCAGTGCCAAGGTGAAATTATTATTTGAGGAGGTTAGGATGGGACTTGACCTAAATGCAATCTGATGGCACCCCATGACTCAATGCGGTGAGGGAAGACCGTGGGAGCAATCCAGTGAGGTGTGTATGGCAGGCTAGCTTCAGGTGGACCAACCATGATGTGAACACTTCATTTACCTAAACTAAACCATATTCAACTAAGGCGGCATATTTCAGTTAAACATCCTATGATGCCTTTCAAAGTCAAGCTAAACTAACTTGAGGCTATTTGTTTTGGAATTCTAGCTTCAGCTGTTTCCTTCTCAGAAAAGAACAATCTCAGAATACCATTCCATTATCATGTGTTCCCTCCATCCACGTCTTTAGAAATCAAAGTGAGGAAACCAAACATCGGCCATGATTTGTTGCTTTCTCCATGAACTAAAATGAATTATAGCAAAGAAGATCGGATTTTTTTTTTCAAGATGGCGTCTTGCTTTGTCACCCAGCCTGGGGTGCAGTAGCACAATCGTGGCTCACTGCAGTCTTGACCTCCCAGACTCAAGCAATTCTCCCACCTCCACCCCTACAAGTAACTGGGACCACAGGCATGTGCCACCACTCCCAGCTAGTGTGCCTGCGTGCGTGCGTGCATGCATGTGTGTGTGTGTGTGTAGAACCAGGGTTTTGTAATGTTGCCCAGGCTGGTCTTGAACTACTGAGCTCAAGTGATCTGCCTGCCTTGGCTTCCCAAAGTGTTGGGATTACAGGCATGAGCTACCATGCCCAGCCCTGATGTATTTTTTATAAAGGTCTTAAGATAATTTTATTTTAACTGACAAGTTGGGAAGATGTATATCTTTTAAACTGTGTTTACTGTTAGAACATCAAAATAATTAGCTGGTTATAAATCACAAAACTTCCTGACAGACTATTTCAAAAGCATGTTTCTTTTGAATGTGATATTCCTGAAAATGTTTGGAAATCAAATATCCAAAAGAAAAAGGGGTATTCTATTCACAGAGACCAAAAAGCCACAAAGTCTCTAAGTAGGATTTTTACTGTGGCACCTCCTGGACCCAGTGTCATGCAGAGGCTGGGAGCAATGGGAGCTGCATCAGATGGCTCACCTTTGAAGGGTCAGGAACAGAACTTTTTAAAACTTGGAACAGGGTTGAAGGAATGGTGTGTTTTTTTCCCCTGCAGGCCTGGAGCCTAGAGGGCCCCAGGAAAATGACCAATGTGACCCAGAATTGGCCCTGCCTGGCCTAAGCCCACCAGTGAACAGAGAGCGGGGTAAGGTGAGAGGGAAGCTGATCTGAGCCTGGCATGGGAACAGGCTCTTCCCCTTTCTCCTCACAGCCTCAGGGCTCTGTGGTCCTCCCCAGAAAGGAGCCATCCAAACTGCCCACCCACTACTGCTCTGGTCACCTGGTGAGGGCAGAGGCCAGCAGCTGTGCCACCTGTAGGAGCTCAAAGCAGCCACTGATCAGCAGTGCATGCCAGACCAGTGTAGTGTGGGAAAGGTGCTCTAGAGAGGCAGGGAGACTGGACACTTCCAGACACACCTCTCCTTGCACAACAAGCTGCTCTGTGTGAGTGCGTGATTTATATGTCAGAGAACTCGGGACTTGAAACCAGGTCCCTATTTTGCCACTAAGAAGTTGGGCTAAGGTTAGGAAGTACTAATGTTTTGTACCTTGGCTTCTAATCTGTAAAACGAGTGGCTTCGACCAGGTCAGTGGGTTTCAAACACAAAGAAAGTGTGAGGTGGCAGAGGAGTCGGGGGTCCTTAGACCTTCTGACCCTCTACCTTTTTCCCATCCACAAGCAGCCTTTTTGTTATTTTTTTTAACTCTCCCCTTTCATACCTGGAGCAGCTTTTGCTTCCATGTAATATTTAAAATCAAGGAATGTGTGATTTGTAGGAGTTTAAAAATACCTAGAATCCGTGGTCTCTAAGCATCCCCTGTGAGATGCCCCAGGTGACCTCTGGCTGCTTTTGCAAACTTGCTGAGGCCGTTTGCTCAGGGTATCTGCAATCTTCTGTAGACTCTGCACAGAAGGGTGGTGTGAAATAATGGGAACTAGGATCCTAGGTTTGCAACCTTTCTTACCCCCTACTCACATACTGGCTGTATTCTGGTTATCCAAGAAAACATCTGTTTTCTTCTGACTTCCTTTTCTTCACCTGTAACATAAAGAGGCTGAATTCTGATGACTGTGCCAGCATTCTTGTCCCATGAGCTGAGCATCAGGTTTTAAGATTTTGCTCTCTTTCTCTCATGCCTGATACAGGCCTTGCACATGTAGACTACTGGTACTATTGACTAACCCAAAGAAAAAAGCTTAAGGGTCAGGAACTGTTAGCCAACATGGCTCACTTCGGAGCAGCTCACAAGGCCAGGCCAGCGGAGCCCAGAAAGCAGGTGCTAATGTTGAGGGTGATTCACTCATCTTGCTCTACTGCTGCTGCCTGGCCCGTCAGCCTAGAGCAGACAGAACTGTGTGCGTCAAGCCATTCAGGCCCAGTTCCCAAAAGATACTGTGTGGAGATCAAAGGAAAGGAGAGACTGGTCCCTGTGCTTGTGGGACTGGCCTCTTACACATTAGGATATCTTTCAAAAACACACACAAATATAAAAGGTGCTAAAGCAGCTCTGCATGCTGAGGAGATAGAGCAGGTGAACAAACATGAATGGGTGAAGTACCATTCAGGAGAGATGTCGTTTGCGTGGAATGTGGAAGGGATAGAAGTTGCCTTAATCCAAGCAAAGTCCACACTGGGAAACCGTTCAGCCACAGCCTTGTGGGTGGTGATGGGTGTGTGTCCTGCAACTGGACCTTTAACCCGCATGCTTGGCGGCGGTGTGTGTGCTCTACTGAAACAGAAAGGGCTGGCCACAGTACCAACATCTTACTTGCTGTTCTTTCTGTTGTCCAGATACCACTTGAAAGATGTCATTGTAGGGAAGATATACTTCCTGCTGGTGAGAATCAAAATCAAGCACATGGAGATAGATATCATCAAGCGGGAAACAACGGGTACAGGCCCCAACGTGTATCACGAGAACGACACAATAGCCAAGTATGAGATCATGGACGGGGCACCAGTGAGAGGTGAGACTGCAAGCCCAAGCCTCAGCTACCACAACTTTTTTCCTGTGTCCTACACAGAGTTATGGAGGAGCTTAAGGGATTACACTGTCAAAATAAGATGTCCTCTTGACCTGTAGCTTCTTAATCTCTCAGTTTACACTGTGGGGGCCAATAAGGAAGAAAAGGAAGGCTGAGTATGAAGAACTTCAGGTTACTATTCCATACTCACCCTGAAAAGTTCCACTTAGACTTGGTTTATATATTGGGCTTGTACTTAAGATTGAACCTCAACTGCTGCTTTGGAAAGTCCAGCTGTAGCACATGCGGTTTGAACACATTCCTACTTCTTTCTGTTAACATTGTGGCATTCTCTGCTGCTAGGGAGCAAGGGATGCATACACAGCAGCCCATCTGTGACTTGGCTCTGGCTCCCATTTATTCTCTGAATTCACTTGTCAGGTAGAAAGCACTACTAGATGCTCTAGCCAACACCACCAGGTGCCCAGATAGCCGTGGAACTTGGTGGAAGCGTCCTCTTCCAGCCCAGGGAGCTAACATTAATCTGGGATAGTGGAGCTGGAAGCCCTTTGTCATTTGGGGACTGTGATTATCTGGAAGAAGCATCCATTTACATTCCTCATTGGCTCTTTGGCCATTCTTCAAGAATGGTGAAGACTCTCTTCATCTTGAAGCGTGCGGTGCTTTCAGGGTTTTATTTAGCTTATTCCATTTACTCTCACAGGCTGTTCCATGTGGAAGGAGGAGCACCACAGATTTAGCTGCCCACAGCTCTGAGGACACTCTCAGGTGTTACCATGCCAGGTCTTTGGAGGGTTGGGACCAAGCTCTCCTGACACTCTCTGATGTCCCATTTTTTCACTGGCTGTGCAAATAGAGCCAGCCGTCATTTTTCCTGTACAAATGAAATGGGTCACTGAGAATCCATGTAAAACAGCAGATAATTATAAGATAGCTTATATTTAGCTTTAGACTACATTATAGGTTTGGTCTTTCTCGGTAGAATTACTGCTGTAGTTTTGTTCCACTGATACTAGACAAGGCATGATGTTAGAGCTGCAAGGGATCTCTAGTATCATGCAGTCTGATTCCCTAATTTTCCACATGAGAACACTAAGGTCCAGAGGAAGCAGCAGACTTACTCACAAGTCAGACAAGCGGTTCATGCAGAACTGATGCCATAGTAAGGACTTTCTGCTTTCTAGACCACCATACTACCCTGGCAGTCCACACAAGAGGGAGGATGTATTTTGGAGGGCATACACTGAGGATGGAGAAAGATGGCATCAGAACTGCTGGGTGAAATGGTGACTTAACTGGACTTTGACAGCTGCCTTTTGAAAACCCAGTAACTAAACACACCGCATGTAATCAAAAGATGCTTATACTAATAATATCCCTGTGCTGTTCCCACTCAGTTGCTCTGTTTTGGAGAAGACACAGAAGTTGTAACAAAACCTGGAGTGGAATTGGAGAGTCCCATTTTTGTTTCAGCAGCCTGCTGGGCAGGAGAGAGCCAGCTGTGCAAATAGAGCCAGATTCCAGAAGGCAGAAGCATTCCTGTGCTGTGTTCCAGTGGCATCTCTGCAGTGGAGATGGTATAAGAGAGAGTGTGTCACCTTGCCCTCTGTGCTGACTCGTCCCTTCCCCCTACAGGAGAGTCCATTCCGATCCGGCTCTTCCTGGCAGGGTA